GGCCAAGTGGAAGGGAAACGAAGGGATGATGCTCGCGCTTGGAAACTACCTATGCCCGTCGCCGGTACGAACAGTACTGCAAAATGTCGGGTACCTACGGATTCCTTCCGTGCCCGCGCGTATACATCGGGTGTCCCGGAAAGAGATGCGAAGTATCAACGTGGAGATCCGACGTATATTCGATGGTGAGAGATATTTGAGGCGGATGCCTCAATAAAATAACTGCACAAAGTCCGATTGAGTTTCAAGTACAATTAAATTAACAGCTAATATAAGAGTCATTAAATTGACACGAAGTTATTTCATTATTGTTTCAAGAGTGCCAACAGATTCGCACGACTATTCGTACTTGAAGACTTAAAGCTTCAAGTGTCACAACCTATCTAGATCTGTCTAGAATTTGTTTCTTGAATAATGAACCATAATTCAAGCAGTTTGCGAGTGCGAACATAAGATCCACAAACAAACGATCACGAGTTCTTGCGGCGAAACAATCGCGTGATTGTATAACGGGAATACTACGAAGGCTTTGATTCGACATTGTATAAATAGCATAAACCTTTGCGGCCTCTAGGGTCTCTACAAATAGGGGACCGCGTTGTATAAACGGTTAGTAGACAAGCAGTAGACTAGAGGACAGGCGGCAACGACTTAGGTCTCACTTCGATTCGAGCGAACAGGGCAGGGGCAGGTATAAATCTTCGCCATTGGACTTCGGCCGGGCGGCAAGCTCCATGGCGGGATTTCTTTCTCTCGCTTAGCCAAAGGAACGATCGATATACAGAGCACGAGTCGAGAAACTTGGACTTCCGGTTAACAGGTCTCGAGACTGAGAGACGCCTTAAATAACGAACGCGACTGTTTTATCTAATTATAAATTGCAAGTTGAGAAAAAGAACGATATCCTTTGTAATAGATTTAGTTGCAGATGAGTAATATGAGCGGAAGTCCCGTGCTATGTATTTTCGTTGAAAGTTCGAGAACAAGGGCAGATCCTCGGACTTCTTGTCATATCACAAGAAGCCGTAACCGCCGTAACATTCCTGAAGCGATGCAAGAAGCTCGGTCGCATGTCGGTGCATGCTGCATCATCGCGCAGTCGCGTGGGTGTGGGTGAAACTGCGTTTATGCGCGCACGCATATCTCGTGTCCTTCAGTGAAAAAGGATGAGCGGTTGAACAAAGAAACGCATGAGAAACGAAGCGCAAAGGATCACCTGCTGTTTTTCCAGCGATTTTGAGAATGAACATGTATTCGTATGAGAGCAAAGTCGAGGTAGGCGCTTTATATACATTTATCGCGTAAATCTGAGCCTGTTGCGTAGGCATTACCGCGAAAGTAATTCCGGGCGTTTGGTTTATCCCAACGCGAAAGAGGTCGATGGCGACCCTGGGCAAGTCGAGTTACCTGCAAGCGAAGTTATGTCTGAGAAATATCGCCTCGAATGCAGGCGCGTCGATACGTTGTAGGTGTGGGTTACTTACATGTATTAAGCGGCTTTCATGCGTGAATATTATCATTCTTTACTTTGTTCTATTGTAATCCTTCCTAACCGCGAATAAAATTCACAGATCAGATAAAAAAAAAAAAAAAAAAAATCTCACCAATGGTAGACTACATTCAGTAAAAAAAGGAGCTTTACAACTGTTGTGAAATTCTTTCATAATTAATCTTACCGTTAATTCCTCACTGGATCTAAATAGTATAAACCAATAATCTTAAAGAATTTTATAACAGTTGCAAAGCTGCTGCTTTTTCTACCGAACGCGATTAATCACGTACAAAGAAAGAAGACGGACGCGGGGTAATGACACTGCAAACACAGTAGATAATAGTCAACAATGTGTGTGTGTGTGTGTGTGTGTGTGTGTGTGTGTGTGCGCGCGCGCGCGAGAGAGAGAGAGAGAGAGAAAGAGAGAGAGAGATAAAGGTCTGTTTTCTGTGACTAAGACCGGTATTCAGATCTTATATGCAAGACCGTCTTAAGTACAGTCTCAAGAAGTTACGAACCAATCAGAGGGCCGTATTAGAATCTTAAGATATTACTTAAAACAATCTCGAAATAAGAATAGAGTATGAATACCGCCCTAAACTAATATATACACTTTTGGAACTTACAGTGAGAATAGGTATACATTTGATATATCTATAGTAACTTTAGAAATAAAGATGCAGACCTAGAGAAAGAAAAGAGAGTATCGGCCGTGACGTCGGCGAACATGTGAGAGCACCCTTAAGCACACCCCTTCTTCCTCAGCCTCTCCGTCACTCACGCGGCTCGGCGGGCGCGCGAGAGCGTCGAGCTCGCGCACTTGACTGCCGTGCTCTAAGTGAGAGCGCCACGTGACGTCGTCGCGCACGACCCCAGGCCGCTATGTTTCCGATAGCACGCGGACCGATCGCACGGCGTACCGCGATTGGCCACACCTTTTCGTGCGACCGCACCGCTCTTCGGATGCGATGCAACGATAATAAAATGACCGACTGCTCCCCCCCTCCCCTCTCTCCTTCGATGCGGGCGACATAACGCGAAGTTGTGACGGATGCAAAATGTATGTGTTACTACTTCGCGCGCGGACCATATACGCAAATGCGAGTAACCCGGCAACGTCGCCAATCTGTCTATCTGTCTGTTAGTCGGTCGGTCTGTCAATCGGTTGGCCAATTGGTTGGTTGGTTGATTGGATGGTTGGTTGGTTGGTTGGTTTGTTAAATGTATACAAGGTATTGCACATAAAAGATCTGATCTTATACTTTACCCTTTAACAGGATATAATTTCGATTCTCTCTCCCCCCTCCCTTCTCTTTTTCTTTTTCTCTTGTTCTTCATCTTTCAGAGCCGATAATATAGACATACCGCATATCTGTGAACGTTCCACTATAGCTATGTATATATTATTCTACCAATTGTTATATACATGCTTAACCCATCAATTCCATCGATTCCATTTCTGGGACACCGAATATTATTGCAATTTTCTTCAAGTGATATGGCTGATTTAGAAATCCAGAATAAGAGCCAATCGACGATCATACCTGGCGTCCATTTCAAAAATGGACACATTATACCAAATATACTACCATGTTTAATAATGTCGTCTTAACTGTATTAGCTGTACTGTATTAGCTATACAGACAGTTGATTCCCTCCCGTCTCTCCGCGGGGATGACACCCGCTCGTCGATACTCTTTGTCGGCGTTACGTCATCGAGAAACGCGGATACTAAATGTCTGAATAAATGTAAGTACGATCGATATAGGCGGGTAAATAATATATTAAACGATTAAGTTTCTTTTATGCCGAGTATGCAATGTGACTTGGGACGATAAAAAAATTTGGAAGAAACGAGCTCTATATTCTTGAAATGGCATCGAAAAAATGTTTTAATTATACTCTCTAAATTCCTTGGAGTGGAAACTCCTCACTGTAAAGAATGAAAATTGAGCTAGTCTTGAAAAAAAAGTGGCTCAATTTTCAATCTTTAAGAGTGAGATTTCACTTTTCGGAGTAACAATTCACTCTAAAAGTTTTAGAGAGTATCATGTTAATTTAACGCAGAATTACAATCACTACGAAACTACGCGAATCTCTTACGTTAAAGCCTTGTTCGGGACACTCTCTATATATCGTGATGTCATAATTTGCCGAAAATAGAATCGACGTGTACTCATGAAATGAATCGTCTCCGGTATAAAAGAACTAGAATCGTGATATGTGATCATATCGATTCTTCGCGCGCGATATTGTACAGTTATAAATTAATCACGACCAGATATGCTTAAATTTAACGGTTCGTTTACACATTACGTTATCGAAATATAACATAAAATATTGTTATTAATGCAAATATTGATGTAAGCGTTACATGACCGACACGTGCTAGAACAATGTTGCCCCGCGCGTAAAACAATTCTTTTATTCAAACAAAATTTTGCTTTGAACGTACCGATCGTTCATTTTGGTTATCATCAAACCGTACAATTACTCTTTCGCATTCAATTATTTTCCGTTGTTTGCACAAAAGAAATGTTTACGCGTCGAAATATCGATTCTGGTTTGCGTTGCCCGCATTTTAATATCGACTTTGAATCTACTTACTTTATTATATCGTATTTCGATACTTTTCTTTTTAGAGAAAGTAACGGTAGTTTCCATCGTGTGTCTACAGTTACAAAATTACTTTAGCGTTATTGTGTTGCATAGTTACTCAAGATAAGAGATACTCATGGAACTTGTGCCGCGTTCACACCTGGATGTCTATCGATAGATCATAAAAAAAAAAGAAGAAAAACAATTAATGACGATGTCATGAAGCGGCATAACGCGAACGTCGATTCATAAAATCTCGGACGAACATCTCCTTTTATTACGCGTGCGACTCGTTTCATTCCTTAATGAATACCTGCCGGACCTGACTCCAGCATTTATTGGCTCTATGCCAATGACATAATAATAATCGTTGGATTTTATCAGAGGATCGAGCTGCAGCCGATCTCTAGCGCTCCCGTCGTTGTCGCCGATATTAAGGACCGGCAGAAAGCTCAGGTGTGATGGAGAGAACGAGAACAATCATGTTGCGGCGACGTGCGTGACAATTGGAACGTCGCGGTTTCGTCATGAGATAAAGGTCGACTCTGGTGATGTACGTTGACGCGCTCCCGAGCACGTGATAAAGCGATAAGTGGAAAATTTGCGGACGAAATGCAAGTCGCTTCGCGCCGACATACGGCAACTACTGCGATCACGTGCCTCACGAGTTAATTACTCGTTTCAGCGGTACGAAGTCGATAAAGTCGATAGTGTATCAATAAGCTGTGCGATAATCTGCTAGGCGAGTGTCGTCAGGCGAACGATTCGTCATCGCCTAACATCATTATTTTACACAATGTTGAGTTTTTCTCTCCTCGACATTCTTAAAATGACAAAGAAGAATATCTTTGTACGGGATAAGAGAGAATAGAAGAGAAAGAATCGCGTGTGCGTGCTATAGGCAGCTCACCCTCGCTCCGAGAAAGCGGGCCTCCAACAACTCCTGCTTCCTTGGGTCCAGGGTGGCCTGAAAGTGCTCCATCTTGACGCCAGCGCCTGCAACAACAAGTCACAGCGAATTACACTTCGACCTTTTCGCCCGTGATGTTTCGGTGGCAAAAGAAACGAAGAATCTGCGATAAGAATCGAAAAACGTATCGACGATCTCTATAAGAATCGATAGCATACGGATCGATGTGCTCTGAGATCTGATCTTTTCGACTGATCTGATGGCGAAATCGACGCGATATATCAGAATAAAAGAAATGAAGACGAGGCGAAGAGAACGAGAAAAGGAAAGAAAAAGATTAAGCAAGGATTAGCCGTGCGGAAAAAACGTAAAGAGAAACGAGCTATCGCAAAAGTTGCCGGATAGAGCTGATATTAAATGCCAGATAATGCTATTACGCGCCAAAGTATTCGCAGAAGATGATATTTGTGCGTTGCAATTTACCACGATTTTCCTATTGTTCGCATATGTGAAGATCAAAGGCCGTTTTCTTGAAAAATATAAAATCGTAAATATAAAAATGTACAAGGTTACTTTAATATATGTCACATATATTATATATTTTTCTATTTTCGTATGCGATATTTTTTCAAGAATAAGGTTCCTATTCCATACTCTTAATGACAAGTGTTGACGTCGTTACATTGTTATGCAGGTTTTATACCTGGTAAAAAAGCTGCACTGAGCAAGAATAAATTTTAATAAGTACTAGAATAGTTTTAAGTAAATATAAATATTTGCTAAATATACATATATTTATTATACAGTATACATATATTTATTTGATACATAAACTATTAACCTTTCCGATATTTTTCGATCATTGTTTTCTCTGGGCTGTTGAAGAAAACAGCATATATTTTTTTATGATTCCGGACTACATAAAAATCAGAAAAAAATCTTGTTGTGAACAACTTTATACAATAAGTTTTTGTAATAAAAACTAAACCGCATTTTATTAATTTTTTATTGAAATCTGAATAAGAATTGAGAAAACATGATATTGCCTTAAAAGACACAAAATAGTGCTGGAGGGTTAATTTGATTGAATTTAATTATCTTTTTTTTATTAAGTTAATATTTATTTACTATAAAGTATTATTTGAAAAAATATTAGTAAATTTTTTTTCAGTGTGTGAAATGACAAATATAACTGACACTGATTCTCATTAAGAGTTCCAAAATAGGGACTGAAGGACAAAATTATATTATATATAAATTTCAATGATGAAAAAAACGATTTTGCTAAAATATCTAAAAATTTAACTAGATACAGATCTAAAAATGATTTTGGACGATCAAAATAATTGTGTACACTATTAAAATCATATACTCAATATCAATTTGAATTAGTTTTAATCATTTCTATAGATCGCCATGGCTCCCATTTAACATGTTGTTAATTTAATTAAAACAATAGAGTTTAAACTATTCAACTCAAGACAATATATTAAATTTGATTCAGATTTAATTTATTATTTACTAGGTGCATTAATATGGACGTTGATTGCTTCGAAACTAACTATAGAAATGGGTTGATTTACACCTTGACATGAATGATACACTGTAAAATATAGTGTCAAATTTAACTTAACGTGAATCGCCATTTGCTCCTACTCAATTATATCGTTATTTTATATTAAAACAATGGTTATATTTGACACATATCGTGTTATGATTTTACCAAAATATGATATATTTAGTAGGAGCAGTGGCGACTCACGTTAGATGAAATTTGACATTATATTTATAGATTTAAGTGTACAAATAAAATGTGATTTATCTCTATCTAAGAAATTAAATTTATTGTACCTTTGACATTTAACCCGGTGTCACACCATTGTGACTAAGTCATAATGACCCGAGACATTTTTAACATCTATATTTTCTTACATACTTCATAGATTTTAACTAACCGCCCTGTGCTAGAGCTAAGACTTTCTAAAATTGTTGACATTGTGAGAATAGATCAAAAAAATATTCGGGTTATCATGATTCACCTCAACGTCCGTGTAATAGCTTAGCATCATAATGACGCCGGGTTAACAGGATAGAAAATTCGAGCAATGCTCAAATATCCTAGCAACAAGTTTGAGCGTTTCACATAATTATTTTAAACAAAATTATTTTCAGATTTGTATTTAGCTAAATCTTTTAGATGCTTCAGCAGAACCGTCCTTTTCCGCGAAGCATCTCCAAGTGCTAACGAATACTTAGACGCGCCGATGCTTCCTTTGCGTGGATTTGTAAGAAACTTCAAAAACGAATTGCATCGCAAAAGATTTATCCTTGGACGAATCCGAGCGAGGAAAAATGCGGGGAAAGTGAGAACGCTTGTCCTCGACAAACCGTTATTCCTATCCGAATTCTCCCAAGTAGAAAATTCGGATAGGAACGTCAACTTCGGGATTGTAATTACCAGACGCTTCGACAATGGTATTCAACGCCCACTGACAACATCCTCGATCGTAAATGCGATGTTACCGAAGCCGCTGATGATTACCGCGCGCGCAATAAACTGGACATCCCACGGGTCATAAACGGCGCAATCCGAGTGCTATAATTAGTGTTTTACGAAGTCGCGTTATGCCGAAGTATTATCTATTTCGATCAAACGGATTGGATTTAACTTGCCCATCGATCCTCTCCGCGAATAAACCACATTCTATTGTGCGACTTGGAGACCGTCTCGTAAAATTAGTCGAATCAACTGCGGACAGAAATAATTTGCGCATTACACAAAGTATACGTTTACGTGCGTTGCGTGCCTTTCCATCTTTATTATTCACGTTATGGATGAAAACTACTGTCTGAGAAAAGAATCACCCTAGGGTTAGTTAACTACCGGCGGGACGTAGTTTCCCAGAAAAAAATTATCGTTTGAATTTAAACCCGTCTAAGTCCACGGTGAGCGGTACGTTTTTTTTTATATTTACAAATGAAATCTTCAATAACAGATCTCCATAAATTCACTAGTTCGCGAAACGATACGCATGCCAGCCAAACAAAAAGATTTACTTACGTATATCATACACTAGGAAAAAGAGAGTCTGATTGCTTTAAATGGAATTCTGGTTGAAAATGGATGAATCAGGATTTTCTAGCTAAATCCATTATAATTTTAATTCAGATTACCAGAATTATGATGAATGTGATCAGAATTTTTTGGTTAAATCATTTGAAAAACTCATTTATTTAGTTGACAAACAAAATCCTTTGATGCAATAAAACAATTTAGTTGAAGCAAAACATTTGATTATTGCAACATTTTTCTTGTTTCTGATAAACATTGATCTGATGAACTTGTTTATCCAAAAAAATCAATTGATTCAATTAAATGAGTTTCTCAACGTACAGCAAAAAAAATTACTCTTAATATATATTTCTTTTTAGTATAAAATAAATATTTATTCAATAAAAAAGTGATAGTTACTTCTTTTTGTATCAAATAAACATATGTTTACATTTGGTAAATATTTAATTAGTACTATTCAAACAAATATTTATTACAATTTATTAAATTCTTTTTCAGAGTAGTTGAGATAAGACCAGAATTCTGATTGATACGATCAGAATCTTCTAGTTCGTTTTCAACCAGAAAGGTTTTCTTATCAGAGTACGAGCTTCAATTTTCATAGATTGGTTTAACAAGGATCGTCCCTCTCTCTTCTGTTATCAACACGTATACACGAGTGAATGAGTCGCACTGCTCGCCGTTACTTTCGAGAATCACTGCAATCCGTTAAAGACATTATACACGTTCACGATGCGTGACCGGCCGTTGCGCGTTACCAAACGGCGCAACGTTGTTTTGTTCGTTGGATGTTTAACGATCTTTTTCCATTCCGCGATCGCGATCGGATCGCAGGTAATAATGGCGCCGCGCGTTCGGACTTTGGATTCGACGGGAGAAGTGAGAAAGTGATGGGATAATTGATCATATGTCGCGGTATGCAACAATTAAAGCCACTTCGGACCCACTATGGACAGCTCGGAACGCATCTGGCCGTTGAATAAATCCGAGCGGGTGAACGCGCTCGCTCGCGCGAGTGCAGTAGCGCAGTCATTGAACTCGTCGTCGGCCACAATTTTCATGTAAAACGGGGGCAAGGCTATTTTATTCGTAGTGCCTGGGATAGGCGAACGTACTCGCCGAGTAAGAAGATAGACAGACGCGGTTCGCCGAGGCGCAAGTTTTAATTGTGCAATCGAAAACAATGCGCGACTTTTACGACACGGCGTGTAACGTCGCGCGACGAATCCGAGAATATTCGATTTCGTCGCATTAAAAGTATTTAAAGAGGCCCCTATTCTGTAGCTCTTAATGACAGTAACGTCATACATATATCGTTATACATTGTCTTCTACCCAGCTTTTTTTATCATGTACGAAACCTACGCAACGTAATTATATAGTGTTGACAATGTAATTACATAGTGTTAAATTAGAGTCGTTAAGAATATAGAATGGAAACCTTACTGTCGATTCAATCCCTTCAGAATCTGTATAGATTTTAATGTACACCAAATTTGTCGACATTTATCCGTTGAAATTATTTCATTCTATCGAGATCAAATGTACATAATATATACGTTGAAAAAATAGAAAATCAAAATTTGAAAAAAAAATTAATTATTTAATATGAATTATTTATTTAAAGTGCTTAAATCAAATAAAAAAACATTTTGTTAACATTTTTGGTTCTAATAAAATCAGATCTGGAGGGATTAACGTACACGCGCAGATTATCCTAACTGACGTAAAAAACTTTTTATCCGTCGGCCTCGCTACCTTTGCGAGCGAACAACCGGCATCTTCAGCTTCGCGTGCGACGTTTACATCGGAGAAGTGTCACGACTGGCAACGGTTGGAATTTCATTCGTTCTACAAAAGGCGCGGAGAAAGCGAGGCGCTAGCAACAATGTGAGACGTTGCTCAGGATATTTCGCGAACGGTGATTCTACCTACACGGCGAATGCATTACTCGCGCGTCCATCAGCCGAAACTTCTGCATCCTTCGAAAAAGTGTGCCACACGATCATCTCCAATGGCATGCTGTCGCGATGCTGTCGAGAACCGATCAACTTGTTGTTTGCCGGACAATACTGGAAACGCGACAGAGATTGTTGAGAGTAACACGAATTTTATCGGTGCTTCTCTCCATAACTGGCGACATTTGAGGGATGACTAATTAATATGATTTCGGAAAAATCTATTATTCCGCTTAGCCGCTATCACGTTTCTCGTTGTGACAAAAACGAGAAAAACTATCGCGTTTGATCAATGAATGCGCGAGTGCAACGCGGGACGCAGCGGTTCGCATACTTCACGATAATCATCGCATTCCTGCGTAAGCGAGTATGCTGTAAGAATTAAATACATTGTTTTCAATATTCAATATTTTTATTCTCTTGTATATGTCGATACAATGTACTCTCCATTCTCCGCATTTTCCCTTTGCGATAAAACGAAAGATATTAGTCGGTTAACGTTATAAAACGCAATAAAACGGAAGGTATTAGTCGAAATGTTCAGAGTTGTCACGTGGTTTATAAGGGGTGTCTTTCATTTAGTGACACAAATATCGTTCTGTCTTTATTACGTGAAATACAAAGAAGGATAGAACGTTTATATTGACTTGTGTCGTTATGTCTCTAAATGGAAAGCACCCAAGATCTACAATTAGTGGGGATTTTATGATGAAATCGGTCACACTGGATTAGTACATTAAAAAAGCTGCTTTATATTTAAATAAATAAAAGAACAATGAAAATATCTATAAAGCATTTAAATGTAGTAGTATAATATAATCAACTTGGACAATGAAAATAATATATTCTGTTAATTAACGCAATTATATCGCATTATTTAATCGTTTAAAATATTTATATGCTTTTACATTGATAAAAAAATTATTAAATTTCAATATTTTTTAAAATAATATTAATTAAATGTTTATGTATAAATAAATATAAATAAATAAATATTTCAATAAAAAAATGGTAGTCCAATTAATTCTTGTATACAAATAAATATATGTTTACATCTAGTAAATATTGAATTAGTACTATTCAAACAACATTTATTAAAATTTAATACGTTTATTAAAATATATTACTAAACTTTAGTACATTTTTTTCAGTGTACATTTAACTTTGCTAATTTCATGTAACAGTATTAATTTAGTATGCACTAATCTAGTGTAGGTAATGCAAGTGACTGAATTCGCTATTATTCTCACAGGAGAAAAAGCTCTCCCTTTTGGACACTCAGCTAAATAAAACGGCAAACTGGATTTATGCCTGTTTCTATCAATGTAAATTAATTTTAATCTCGATTTAACTTACATTTTACCTTTTTTTCTAATTCTGTAAATTAAAAAAGGACAAAAAGTAAACTGAAATTAAAGTTAATCTACTGGACATCATTAACTTCCGTGAAGTTGGCATCTTATTGTCAAAATTTTGATATAATTAATAGAGTTCTAGAGTTCGTGATAGACGATTAAATGGAAAAAGATAATTTAATACTTAAAATATTAAAAATAATGTAAAAGTATGCGATGCCAATTTCGTCGGTTATGAATTCTCTCTTGAATAAACTCAACAATTGTTTAGAAGATACTCTTAAGATAGCGTGATCGAACAGGGGTCAACTGAGATCTTCAATATAATATCTCAGTGAATGTTGAAAGATCGACACGATGAAGAGTTTACAGAACAGAGTTCTCTCGGGCGAAACAATATCAAGCGAGCAACTGAAAATAATAAGACGGTAAACTTTCTGAGATAATCATTTTGCAACTTTGTGATCATGCGAAATCAGCGAAATCACTCGCGAGGAATACGTTATCATCTTTGATATTTTCAACACATAACGAAAGATTTCAAAACAGTTTGCCTATCGCCTACAACGTTTTCAAGGCTATTTTCGTATCTCGAGAGTATTTTTATGCACAAGGTGAATAAAAAATTACTACCAATACATTTATATATACGGCTTAACTATGTTGGAAAATAAGTTTTTGCGTTTGTCGAAGTGGCACCATCAGCGTTCGCATCTCGTAATATACATATACATAAACGTAATTGAGCTGCCAACTGATGGTGTGTCCGCTCCTCGGTTGATTTATCCTCGCGTTACTTATCTAATCTCGTGTATTATAAGACCGAAATAACATCCGTATTTTCATACACCGGGCGTCCCGAAATTCTCCTAAAGCGAGAAAACATAGGAATATCCCATTTTCGTCTCAGGGAGAGGATCTCAACCAATCCGCTCGATGTTTTCGTTAATTTGCCCAAGGGATTGATGAAAGAATTTAAAAAAAAGAGAGAACGAGCGAGTTGCAAGAGAAAATGTGCAATGTCGATTAAAAAACACTTACCACCACCAGAGTTCCAGCAATTATCAGTCATCCCTGTTTATCCATCTGCAGAGTTGGCACTACATTATAATTACACTGATCCAACTCGCTCGAATGTCTCGCGGCACGTTGGTCCTTGACGGCGACGACGTCGTTACGCGCGCCGGATACACTTTTCATGAGCCCTAGTGCCGCCCGACAAAACTCTCAGCTCCGCCGCATCGCTTTACACCAATGAGAGCACCTGTCTCATTATTGATCTCACACTACACTCTCTCGATCGCCGATGTACCGGGTGGGCCGCACCGCGAAGACCATCCGTAAGGTTTTCGCGCACTTCCGATCAACACCCGGCCACCCGGTGAGCCACTTCCGGCAACGGTACGCGAGGATTTCCTTTCTGTAACAGTACAATCACGCGCGTCTATAGAACCGCCAGGAACATTGCGTTCCTTTTGTTTTTTATGAGCCGTTTTTCCGATCAGGCGAATCGCAAACTTGCTCGATCATTATTATTGGCTGCGTTCGGCAGAGAAAGCAGCTTTGCAATTGTTGTAAAATTTTTTAAACCTATTCTATAATTTAGTAAACGTAATTGTAAATGTAGTTGTAAGATTTGATCAATCGCAATCGAATATTCTTCTCATTTTCGATTATGATGAGTATCTTATAACTATGCCTATGCAACTAGAAAATAGGCTTTTAATTTGATTGGTTTGTTTAAGCGGCGCCTATAATGAGATTTAAGGCATAAAACTTAAGCTTTTTAAGCCTGAAGCCGTAAAAAATTTACCACAGTCGAATGTGAGGCCAATAATCGACTATTAGCGTTTTTCACTGGAAAAACTAGTGTAACGCCTGTTCAATTGAATGTAAATTAATTCACATATTTTTAATGTTAACAAATAATTTAATTACATATTCCTTATTGTTGTGATAACCTCATAACCTTAAAAAGGATTAAATTATTTATTATCAATGAAAAAAGGATAAATTTGCACTTAATTGCACCAATGTTGCAATAGTTTTCTCAGTGGAAAATGCTATAATTAATATATTTCTTATGACCCAAGGCTTAAGTTTTGCACCTTAAATTCTTATTATAGACGTCGCTTTAAATTCAGTGAGGAACGAAAAGTGAAACCTTAAGATATTTTTCCTAAAATCTGTTTTACTGATTATTTTTCAAGTAAGTATTGAAATTTTTAACTGCCTTTACACAGATTAAAAAATGCTTTTTCACAATTAAAATATAAGTTCGATCGAATTTATGCCAAAAACAAAAAATTGAAAAATCAATTTTGTCAGTTTCTGACATTTGGAGTAGAGATTACATAAACAAATAATTGAGTTCTTAGAATTAGGCTTAGGTATCTAATATAAAAGATTAATTAGAAAATTTGTATGTGTACATGCGATTGATGTAGCAGAGTGTAGTGATGTCAATGACACATAAATCGTAGGTATGCAAATCCTACTGAATCGGTAAAATCGACTTTAGAATCCTCTTAAACACAATAAAAAGCGCACAGAGAAACAGATTTCATCCTATCGGAAATGTGTATTCTAAAGTGTGATCCACTTAACGATACAAATGCTTTGTTGACTAATAGAAGAAAGAATTTTATTCCCAGAATTGGCCAAGAAAGCACTTGCGTGTAAATATTTACATAATTACTGGAAAGAATTCTGATTGTATTAATTGGAATTTTGATTAAAAATTGAACAAACCAGAAATGTTCTAAATCAATTATAATTCTAGCTGAAAAGCAGAAATCTGCTTGATATAAGAATTTTCTGACTCATCCATTTTCGACCAGAAATTTTTCTCAACACGAAGTAGATCGCAACCTAGTATACACAGTTTCTATTGCCTGTTTCATTTCACTTTGTTTTAAGCCTAAGACGCATATTAAAGAAGCATATTAAAGAATTTTACAACAGTCGCGAAACTTCCTTTTCCGCTGAACGCAGCCATAGTTCGAGCGAGTGCCATCGAACGATTATCGATCGGCGGCTACTTCGAGAGACTCGCTTTGCGGATTTGTTCGTCCCTGCGAAAAGACACGCGCGTACGCCGTGCAATGCGCCGTGTTATGCGTTATGAGCACCGTTATCCCCTTACAATCTACCACGTCATTGTCCTACGACGGAAATCAGAAGTTGGCCGAACGGATCGATCGTACTGACGAGGCGAGTCACCGATCGCTTCTCAAATTAGTCCTCGGCCGCGCGGAGAGTGTCCGTCAACACGGAATTCATTACGATGGACAATGTATGTTCCGAGCGTACACTGTGTCGTCCAAGGAATACATGAATACGAAGGCAAACGAAAACCCGGGAGAAAATAAACCGATGATCGACGGTGGAATCGACGCGCGCCACTTCGCGCGTTCTCGAGTATATCCTCATCTGCGAACAGGCCCGAATACGCGAGAGATTTTCACCTCGAGAATAATTTCTCCATAGATATGTCTCATCCGCCGTAATATTGGAAAGAAAGCCAAGATCAGCGAGAGCAAGAGGAAGAGGGGATGTGCTACTACGTAAGAGTGTTACTACCAGGTGCAGCAATGCGCATAATGGAGTCTGCATTCGGCAGACTCCATCAGCTGAGTGAATGCTCGCTGTTATTAGTATTCTTCTAGATCATCCAACCAGACTTGTAGGGCCGGTATTCATACACTGAAAAAAAATTTTCTGAATCTTGTTACAAGTAATATATGTTTACATTTTAAACAGTAACAATAATTAATAAATAAGGACTCTCGGATTTTAAACAATATAAAAAGATAAATATAGTAGACTAATGAGAGTCAGCAACGATAAATATCGGCGCAATTATTTAGTGAACAATCAATAATCACATATTGGATTGATGTCTTCTTTATTTTGAACGTTTCGACTTTCTTTGGAGTCCTCCTCAGCAAGAATGATACAAGTATAAATAAATCACATATCCATAATGTTTAAGTCACTCGCAAATTGACAAAGATGCAGCGTTGTTAATCATCACAGAACATAAAGCATTGTAGTGAAGCTTTGTTGAACATATTAAAACTTAAAAAGTAGAAATCTTAAGATCAAATATAAAAATCACACATTTTTAGAACACACGTTCGTGTACGACAACGTGTCACTCAGATGATTTACATTTTAACACTGAGAAAAAAATGCTGTTAATTCAATTAAAGTTTATATTATGGGCTGTCATTAACATAATTAATTCATGTATATTTATTGACATAAAGGCCTTGATTATTGAAATAATAATTTATGTCTTTATGTCAATAAAAATATACATGAATTAATCACTTGTGTTAGTGACAACCATAATATAGACTTTAATTGAATCAACAAGCATTTTTTTCTCAGTGAATATTTATTTGCAATAAAGAAATGTTTATTTGGAATTATTCAAGAAACAAATTACTTAGATTCAGAAAATTCTTTTTTCAATGTAGTCAGATCTTATATTCAAGTCATCTTAAGTAATCTTAAAAAGTCACGAACCAATCAGAGGATTGCGTCTTAAGACAATACTTATGACAGTCTTGAAGAAGACTGAATGGATTATGAATACTGTCATTAGATCTAGAAGAATACATCTCACTCAACTGTTGAGTTTACTGAACGCAGCCAACGGCATGATAAATCAGGAACCCATCCCGAATACACGAGCGCAAAATTCGAATATTAAAAAAATATAACATGAAGGATTTTTCCGTTTGCTGTCTATTAGGTTTATTTTTTATAACTGCATTGAGAAAAATTTCTACTAAAAATGAACATATCAGGAAAGATTCTGATTGATTCTGATCAATCAGAATTTCGATCATTATAACATTGACACCTGATTATCTCTAGAATTATCTATAAAGAATTTAATAAAAGTATTTTGATTCGTTCATTTTCAAGGAAATTTTTTTTCACAGAATAGTATATACTTTTTGTACTTAAAATGAAATAAATACAATACATATTTTAAAAAATAATACCATGCAATGTCAATATAATTGTCACTATTAAATAGATTTTAACACTAACATGATATGGATTTACATGGATTCTCATGGATATTTTTTAAAGTGTACACGTTCGAAATTTAGAGAAAGAAAAGCGAGAAGGAAAATTCTAGTATACAATTTAGGACAAGTATTATGAAATTATTCGGAATAAATTTCAATTGAAATTATTCCATTTTCTCTAAAAAATACAATAAAAATCTAGAGAATAATTAAACGATTCCAATTGGAATTTATTCCGAATAATTTCATAACATGCATCCAAAATAAAAGACAAACCTATTTTCTAAATCGCGATTCTCTTTCTTTTTTCAAAATGACAAGTTTGATCTTAAGATCGGTATTCATAGTTTTTTATTTTAAAACCGTTTTAATGCTTAAGATGCTAAATATATACATGCACATATACATACAAGCCTCTCTTAAGCCAGTCTCAACTGTAGAAATCGATTATGAATACCGGCTTAACTAATGTCTTAAGATATTAATACACTCTGCGATTGGATCATGACATTAAGACTGTTATTTAAGACGGTTTTAAATACAGGAATCAAGTATGAGCAGCTTGAAAAAGTGAGAAAAGTGCAGCGGAAAAGAATGACGCTCGAAACCTTTGCGAATCCGAAGGCGAATCCTAAAAGAGGATCGGTGAGATGAGGTTATGTGCCGATGTAAACCAAGGGCGCCGGCATTTTCGAGGGCCGCTCGGATTTAAGCCCGAACTACACGACGGCACGCGACATTGCGCTCAATCGATTCAAGCGAATTTCTATCGTGTGCCGGAACGTAATGTAGGAATAGAAAAGTCGCTTAAATCGAGCAACAAGGATTCTCTTCCGAAATCGTGAAGATGGCGTTGATCGCCGATAATTAGAGCTCCTTTCCTCTATCTCGAATTACGTCGCAGTTACATCGAATCGTACGAAAAATATGTTACGATCGTTCCTTTTTTTTTCGCGTGAATCGTGTCTTATTATCATGGTTCGTCGCGCTTTGCTTCTTATTAAATCTGAGAATCGAATGTATATTTTGAAATGAGGTGAAAATTACAAAAGTGACCAAAAAAGTCGTTACAATATTTATAAATTCCGTCCGCTGTACTTTTTACATTCAGTACTCTTTAAAATCTTTAAGTTGCGTCTGCAATGAGATTTTAAGGCGTAAATTTTAAGCTTTAAGCTCTAAGTCGCAAGAAATTGACTAATCACAAATGTGAAGAGAATAATAGACTATAATTATAGACGCCGCTTTAGAGTGAATCTCACTGTAAAGAGTCTCACTGTAAATCTCACTCTCAAAGATTAAAAAGCTGCTCATTTTCAAGACAGACTCAATTTTTACTCTTTAAAGTGAGATTCTATTCTAAAAAAATTAGAGTATATCTTTGCTTTAGTTTTCTTCAATGCTCTAATATATATTTATCTCATTTTAGTGCGAAAACTATTCAAATTTCAAGAGTAACGCGAACATATGATTTCATTGATAAACAACTAGTGAATTTGTTCACTTTGCTAATTTTCATCTCATTTCAAGATATGCAATCAATCCTCTGTTGTTTTTAGCAGTTAACCTTGCAAGGTTCTCTGTTGGAGAGAAAAAAAAAGAGAAAAGACGAAACGGTACAAGAAGTTCAACTGAAAAAGAGGCAGGCCTATTGGCCCCGATATCGGTGTCGACAAAATTACAGCGCAACAATACCGACCGCGTAGGCGCCGGCTTTGACTAAAGAGAGTAAGAGAGCAAATTGATCGAGACAGCGGAGACACGGTCGGCGACGACCAACCGTTTAATCTCGCCGATCGATCCGATCCTTCGCGAATCCAACCTGCAATGCGATCCACCCTGGGAATCGACATCCGCGGCGTGAGCACGAATTATCAGCCGCGATTAGCTCCGGTCGCTTGGTATCTCCAACAGACTTCAAAAAAACCGCTTTCGAAAAAACGGCTCAAGTTTGCGTGATAGACGCGAGAGATCCGAACGTGAGAGACGAGGTGAGGCGAGACGAAACGAGACGAGACGAGGCGAGGCGGCGACAACAACGGCGACGACGGCGACGGCGACGACAAGGCGATGGCTCGGGTCGTCGAGGCCTGCCTGCCTTCCACCCTTCGTCCCTCCCTCTTCTCTCCCGCAGCCGCCTCCCAGTCTTCTCGCGACGTCCAGCCGGAGACTTGGAGGTTACACACAGCGAGTAAATCGATTCACCGCTCTCCAAACTAAACCGCACTCGTCGAAGATCCGAAGCAGAGACGGGAGACACGACCGTCCCCCGGCGAATGTGCGGCGCGACTCACTTGTTTCTTCCTTCTTTCTTTCTCCTTCGACTCCTTTTATGTACTCCTGTTCTTCACTCTTCCTTCCACCGGTCTCTCGCGTTCTCGCGAAAACGACGCGATTACGAAGTAAACGCGCGGCGATAGGGGGTCAGGCCTCTCCGTGTTCTTTTCACTCAGCACCGCTGCTTCCGTTTTCTTCCCCCGCACCCGTCTCTCTCTCTCTCTCTCTCTCTCTCTCTCTCTCTCTCTCTGTCTTCCGCTCTGCCTTCGCTCTCTGCCGTCCTTTCGTCTCTCTCTTTCTCGTACACGCGCGGCAAGGCAGCACACTTCCTAATATGTCTGCTGTCTCTCTCTCGCTCGCACGAGAGCGGCCGTTTTCTTCTTTCTCACACTCACAGACGGAGAAGCGAAGGCCTGGTCGAAGTGGCGACACGCGCTCGTGAAATTTCGTGACTTCGCCGAGCAGCACGCGCCGTTCACCGCATCTCTCGTCGCATATATGATAGACGCGGACAAATTTCCTTCCCTCTCGCACCTTCTTGTTCTCCCTTCTCTTTTTCTTGTCGTCCTTTCTCTCTTTCTCTCGTTCTCTATCAATCAAGGAGGGGAAGGTCTCTCTCTTTTTTACGATTTCTCTCGTCTTCGCTGTCCTTCTCTTTCACGGCATAGCGTGCTTCGTTTATCGGAAGAAAGGAGGAAAAACTCATCTGGAAGATGGCCGCCGCCTGCCAGTCACCGATTTATCCCTCTCTCGCATGGCGCACTCTTTTACGACGGGGACCACCGCGAGCCACCCGGGGAGACCGCAGGCTCACCGCGGTCACGATGCACCGGGTCGTTAACTGCGACACTGACAGACGGCGGAGGGGAGGGACTGGAGAACCGGGAGACTGGTACACGATCACACGACGATCACACGACGACGACGACGACGATAATGACAACAACGACTACGGATACGACACAATAAAAACACGATGACACGAAGCGGAAATCGTAGGATGCCGGTAAACGCGCGGCGCGTCTCGCGTCGGCCGCACTCTCGCTCGCTGGCCCGACAATATTCGTACTAAAAAGCTCACCTCGGTTGGAACCGTAACGCACTCTCTTCTCGATACACAGAAGCGCAAACACGAAGGCACTCACCGCGGACACACACACACGCATACACACACACCACACACACACACACACACATACATACACCACGTAGCACGCGCGAGCGGACGCGCGCGCGCGCGCGCACGCGGCCTCGTACGTGTATACACTATGCACTGCAGGCACACCGCGCATCAACGGCACAGCGCGGAGCAGAGCGGAGCGGAATGGATACGGAGCGGAGTGGCGATGAGACCAGACGAGATCCGACGGTGGTTCCGCGGAAGATGCGCGCGCGCGCGCGCGGAGCACACCAAGGGATTTTTAATTAAAAAAAAAAAAAGAAAGGATGACACGGCGCCGCGTCCCTCACGGGCCTTTTACATATATATGTTTTCCTCTCCTCTCCTTCTTTTCTCTCTCTCTCACTCACTCGCACGCGCTCTCGTGAATCGTGAACGAGATCTCGCGGTTGAATTCGCGCGCACGCGACCAACCTCATACACGACGACACCTTCGAGAAATAACGCGTGACCGTCACGACTGTTTTTTGTTTTTTTTCGCTGACACTACTTTCACGACGACGACGGAATTTTAAGAATGACGACGGCGGCGACGGCAACGACGACGACGACAGTGACGTTGCCAGTCACACACCATGGCGTTCGCACGGCCTCCTCTGTCTCGCTCCTGCAAGCCGAGCGGCACCTTACGGCGCTTCGGCTATTATCGGTGAGCTACGATGTTTATTCGGCAGCGCATCGGCCGACCAGTCACGACTCGCGGCGAGATCATCCCCGGTTCTCGCTTTCGTTTCCCTAGCTGTCCCGTACCGTGCCGTATCCGCTATGCGATGCGGCATGATTTTAAGGCTGCGTTCACACCGAACTGAGGTTTTGTCTTACGCGCTAATTATTGAACAAGTATTCAATAATTGAATAAAAATTTAGGCACAAACGCGTAACTATAACGCGTAGGTATAAATTATCGGCGATTAAAAGATCTTTACTGCATTGTGTCTCAATAAAAAAATAAATATCTATTATTTCTACCAATATTGATTAACTTTGTGATTTCGGTTTATTTTTTATTTCTTTCTAATTCCTTGAATTAGAAAAAGTGATAAAGAGTAAATGAAATTGAAGGTAATTTAAGGTCTATTCTTTCTTGAAAAAAACGTTCTGAACAAATATAATTTGTTACATTTTAATTTATTGTATCTCAATAAAAAAGTAAATATCTATTATTTCTATCAATGTTGATTAATTTTGATTTCTGTTTAATTTATTTTTTATCTCCTTCTAGGTCTTTGAATTAGAAAAAGAGATAAAGAGTAAATTAAATAGAAGGTAATTTATAAGATATATTCTTTCTTGAAAAATGTTCTGAACGAAAACAAACATCATTTGTTACATTTTAACTTATTGTATCAATATAAATCAATTCAAAATATTATTTGAAAAAATAAATCTTAGATTGATTTTAATTTCAATTTTAATCTACTTTTAAACTTCTGCCACACAATTTAGAAGAAGATAGAAAGCATGTTAAACATTCAAATTTTTTTCCAAAAAAGCAGACCTTAGATTAACTTTAATTTCAATTTATAATCTTTCTCTACTCTTTATCTTTTCTTAAAACTAGAAAAGAATAAAAATAACATAAACATTTAAAACTTCCTTCGAAAAAACATAGAATTTAAATTAATTTCCATCTCAATTATAATCTATTCTTTACTACTTTCTAATTCTTTAAATTTAGAAGAGGATAAGAAATTAACATTCAGAATATCTTTCAAAAAGAACAGACCTTAGATTAAGTTTAATTTCAATTTATAATCTACTTTTCATCTAATTCCTAGAATTAGAAAACGATAAGAAGTGAAGCATTCAAAAATATTCTTTAAAAAGAATAAACTTCTACATTGATAGAAATACACGATTAACATTAACGATAATCCGTCGTGCAAGAAGGACCACCTGAGAACATATTTAGAATTAGATATATTATTTTTTAATATTTTGGCAAATGTTGGTACTACAGTCATAGAATACAATTACAATAAGTCGTTCCCCAGATCGTGTGACGCTCTGACTCCTTACATTTTTTTCGTAAGCTGTACAAACGCGTTTTATAAATATAGAAAACATATTCAATTATATTCAACTTGGTGTGGGATGGAGAGGGAAGTTTCTTAAATAACTTCACCTCGCGATAATATAATATCTAAAGCTGTGCAAATCACCGAATCATTCTTTTTTTATTTCTTCATTTTTTTGTTTCGATCGCTAATAAATCAACTAGAATTCGTGTTTTTGATACAAGAGCACGCGCGCCTTCATGTATAATTCTATCGTAAAGACAAAATCTTAATGACTATGAAATATTAAAATTCTACAGTTTTGTGGAAAAAAGATATTGCTACAAAATATACTTTGTAATAAATAAAATGTATGTACACGTGTTATAATAATTTATAAATAAAAATTTTAATTAAAAACATCTACGTACAAAGTGTGACTAACTTTTCTATACAATAATCTTTAAAGGGAGCGCGAAGCAAAATTCATGGTCCACATAAATTCAAGATTGATAATTTGTTCTTTGATGGCAATTGAGAAAATCGATGTTTAGCGAAGACGTTCATTTTATTAAACGTTTAATAAAATTATTAAATGTTCACAATAACGATTTTGTTTATTAGCAGCTTGATCGTTTTGCATCGCGCCGCTTAATTGCAAAATACATTTCGTACATCGATACTTTCTCTAAAAATGTACACGTTCCACATTTGGCACACCTTATATTTATGTAAATAAAAACATACCTCAAAACCGAATCTTCGGAGAATTCGAGTCGTAGATTAAACTAAATATCACAAAGATGCACTTATAACAAATTAAATAAACTAGACTGCCGTGTGAACTGTTTATTCTGAAAACAGTGGTAGGTATGTGAGTGCGAGCACAGGTTTAAATGAGATAAAATTGTGAGATTAGATATTCTCTCGATCGCTTTCAAAATAAACAGTTCGCACAATTCTTACGTATAGCTTTCTATTAAATAACAGCTTAAGATAAACTTTAACATAAAATTTAACAGATCGACTTCACTATCTGCAACAAAAATCGTCATTCAGCGCCAAATGTGGCCGTTTGAGATTCACTCGCTTAAAACACAAAAAAATAAAACGAGTATTAAGTACGATTAAACTCTACAAAAGAGGGAATCGTAAAGTAATAATACTATTATGTAAACATTCTTCACGTAACTACAAATATCGTGGCGAAGAAAACCTTCTTACCTTAATCAGATATACGTATGTTATCGTAATGACTACGCTAGTAGCACTATAAATGATCTACACGTGTGCTCTAAGCTTAATTGAATCGTAATTTCTGCTACGATTAACGGCAGCTCTTCATTCCATGAATGATCTTCCACGATCTTGATGATAAAACTAACAATTTATTCCGACGGATATAAGGATACAATCGATTTAATAACTATCTATCATGATTTAGTATCTTTCATTACCGAATCTATCGAATTACAAGGGATCGTCATGTTATACACGGAATTAATCGTACGGTGTAATCTCGACAATAAATGGAGGTAGCAATATTGTCAATAACAGGATTAGCCTTAGTGAAATGAATTATGGAACAATGTACAATGTTTATGTCTTGTCGGATATCGGCTGTCCCAGTTTCCGAACTTTCCGTCCATCCTCTACATGTAAATCCACTATTCACGACAGTACAAAATACTGAACCTTGCTAGATAGAAATTTGCCACGATCGATAACGCATGTTGTGATGTATGCATGCCACTCTTCCTCATGTTTCTTTTACGCGTTTAAAGAATGTACTCTTCCGGTTCAAACAGTAAATGAGACTAAAATGAAATATTACACAAAACTCGGACAAGAAATTATCATGACAATCGCGATGTACGTGTATTCTGCATTACTTTTTTATGTACAAAGGATACAGGTACTTCTTAAGCGAGAATGTCTCTATGTATAAACGAAACAATATTACTGTACGTAATATAGATATGTGTAGAATAGCCCTTAGGAATAGGTAAGATTTGTGATAGAAAAAAATGTTTTCTCTATTATTTAAGGTTTAAAGTTGATTAATTCTTCGAGCGTCGCTTAATTGCGTGTAACATTTGAAAAAGTAGAATAAAAAACCACTTGCTACAATTACATGTCTTTTTGTGACGAAATTATATATCACATATCTTACATATATAAACCATATAGAAATTATATATACAATATTCAGCGAAAATTACAAAAACTTGTACTTAAATCAGCAATATATCAGCTTAGCTTCTAGAATTTGCCCGGTAGCTTAAAAAAAAATCTCTTTGCGAAACTGCATATCACATTAATACAGTCTGTTGTACGTACGCAATTTTAATTTCGTACTTTATACTTTCTCTCGCTGAAATTAAACTTTAAAAAGGTCGTTTAATAAGCACGAGTCTTGCAAGAAATTCTTTGTTTCAGTTTTTACGTATCTTTACCACATAACTTTGTCCGGCTCTTACATTTTTAACTTCAATCACTCGCCATTGTTTTTTATTGGCATACGTTTCCGAATTAATCAAGATCTACAGTAAATTCCGCGTTATTAGTAGTAGAGATATTCATCTCCTCATCTTCGATAGATTCTTTGTCTGTGACGCTGGATACTGTGTGATGATTGTTTGTCGTTTGATTATCAATCTTTGCTTCATCGACCGGTTGAACTGTCGTTAGCGTGGTCCACCAATTTGAGAATGCCCCTTTCGCTTGTGACAGTGCTCCCCCTTGTAAATTAGTGCCAAGAATAATATTTCTACGCGAGCTTGATCGCAGACATCAAGTGAAATTAAATTGGACATTTAATTTAATATTCCAAATTATGGATTTTTTTATATTATAATTAGATTCAAAACTGTACATGTAAATATCGAACAATAAATCTAAAGAGATACGTATATCATTTTTCAAATACGTATTAATATGCAGTTTACAAAATATTCGTATTCAGAAAGATTGACAATACATTTAAATGCACTATCCGGTTTACATTTAAATAAATTATGCAACCTTACCCACGGCCTTTCCAGTGGTGGCCACTGCGCGTCCAGTCGTTGCCATTGCCTGATTCAACTTCCTACCGCTTTCCGTATTTTGCATCGTGCTGGAACAATGAGGTTTTTATTTTTTTAAATAATGTACTGTTTTTAATGAAAATTAAATATAGTGACGCAGAAAAACAATGGAATGAATTCGTTCTATTTTTTTATCCTTGCACTATAAATTTATATTTCATATGTGAAATTTAACTTACTGTGATAACCGTAATTTCATATCTTGCACCGATAATTGACCAGCGAAAGGGTGCCCAGGTTCTATATTGTGTATCTCTGATTTGCTCGCAGTGTACCACGTTTTGTAATTATTTGTAGTACGCCACGCGGACATGAATGTTGCGTTGTAATGATCCGACTGACGAGTATCCTGTTGCATGGAAGTACGCAGCATACTCAACAGATATACCCGGAACTGTGTTCTGATCCATTCGTCGCCACCCTCCCATCCCACCCCATCCAGAAAAATATCCTTCCGAGGCTCGGCTACATGCCTTACGACG